TAGTAATTTTAATACTTTTTTGTGTCACTGTCCTGGAACATGTATGCAGCCAGTGAAGTCAAAGACAAACACCTTTTAGGGCTTGTTCAAACAAAATTTCTAGCTTTTAACAAATGCTCCTATAGCACTACTATGGGTGTAAGACAGGCGTTAATGAGCTTTAGTATGGGCCTTAGACCGGCGTTTTTAACAAGTGTTAAAAATGCTCCCCAAATGCCCTATGTGTGGTTTTGACGCATTTTATAAGCATGTTACAACCTTTAAAATCACACCACAAAAACCTATAAACTGTAATGGCAAATGCCTGCCAGCACGTTTGCGGAGTGTCACCATAGAGGCATTGAAAGGCTTCAAACTACTCCAGACTTGACATGAGGTTTCAATTTTGAAACAATGTGACACTAACGCTTCATGTTTTGATAATGTGAGCAGCACTGTGTGCTGTCCATAATATAATTTGCATAGGCATTTGAGGAGCGTTAAAAAAGCCCATCAAACTTGTTTTGGACTTCGGTAGCAGTGACACAAATAGGTCAGCGTGACAGGTCTGCAAAAGCAGGCTTCATATTTCCTTGGTCACAGTTTTCCCTTTAACATGTAGATGTACCTCCGGCCTTTTTTCAGCTGGAAAGTGGCAAAACTCTGTTCCACAACTTTCAACATCCCTGTTCTCTCCCGCCCGTCACTAACCACAGAAGGCAATAGAGGAAGTTTTTGCACAACTCACTTCCTCTGCCAGTTTCTGTGTGTTATTGTAGGGCACCCAGGACATGTGCAGGGCCGGGCACATGTTGGTGGGTGCCCCGGGTCCCGACACTGCAACTGCCCACATTTTCTTAAGTTTTTCTTCTGCTACTTCAAGAGGTAGTTTCTATCCCCACCCCACCTGTCATAACTGTGTAGCACTGAGCCAGGTGAAGTACTCTGGAACTCCTCCTCGGCTCTGTGCTACACGGGTGGAAGTAGAGACTGTCCTGTGTTAAAAAGATAAAAAAGTCAGCACACACCTAACAGCAGTGCCAGTGGCACCACCCGTGAAGCTTTTGTGAAGATGTGTAGGCATGGTGGTAGGAAGCAATAGGAAGAAGGGTCAGCCGCACACCAGAGGATAGATGAATATAGTGTGTATTTATTGATCCATAAGACACACAAAACACCAGGACATAAATACAGGACTTGTTAACGCGTTTCACACGATCCCGTGCTTAATCATAAGTTATGATTAAGCACAAGATTGTGTGAAACGCGTTAACAAGTCCTGTATTTATGTCCTGGTGTTTTGTGTGTCCTATGGATCAATAAATACACACTATATTCATCTATCCTCCGGTGTGCGGCTGACCCTTCTTCCTATTGCATCATGTGTGGTGGCAAGCCAGAGCTTGCACCTGTTGTGGATTGATCTGGATTGTTTGCCTGAGCGGTATACCTTTTGTTCTTTGGATGGTGGAAGGATGGGGGGAGGTGGTTTTGTAGATGTGGCCGTGGGGAGGTTAGAGGTACAGCCCAGAGGTGTCAGCTAGGGTTTAGGGATTGGTGAATAGGTGAGAGCTGTATGTGGGGTGGGGGGCTATGCAGAGAGACAGCTATGGAAAGGTTACAGATGCTGTGCCGAGGTGAAAGCTGGGGGGGGAGTAAGAGGTAGTAAGGGGGGATATCTGCAACATGAGGGCTTGGTGGGGGGAGGACTTTGTGCAGATATGAGAACTGTGGAGGGAAAGGGGGGTGGTTGTGCAGAGAGGCAGCTGTGGTGAGGTTGGGGTGTTATGCAGAGGTGAGAGCTGTGTGGGTAGGGGGGAGGTTGAAAGGTTGTGTAGAAATGATAGGGGGGTGTAGAGGTGAAATATGGGGGATTGAAGAGGTGATAACTGTGGATTGGGGAGGTTAGAGGTACAGCCCAGAGGTGTCAGCTAGGGTTTAGGGATTGGTGAATAGGTGAGAGCTGTATGTGGGGTGGGGGGCTATGCAGAGAGACAGCTATGGAAAGGTTACAGATGCTGTGCAGAGGTGAAAGCTGGGGGGGGAGTAAGAGGTAGTAAGGGGGGATATCTGCAACATGAGGGCTTGGTGGGGGGAGGACTTTGTGCAGATATGAGAACTGTGGAGGGAAAGGGGGGTGGTTGTGCAGAGAGGCAGCTGTGGTGAGGTTGGGGTGTTATGCAGAGGTGAGAGCTGTGTGGGTAGGGGGGAGGTTGAAAGGTTGTGTAAAAATGATAGGGGGGTGTAGAGGTGAAATATGGGGGATTGAAGAGGTGATAACTGTGGATTGGGGTGAGCTGTAGATGGGAGTGCATAAGTAAAATATGGAAGGGGGGCAGAGATAAATTGTAGTTGGGGGTGAAGTTATGGATGGGGAATGCAGAGGTGAGCTGGTAAATGAGGATACAAAAGTCCCCAACCAAGGGGACAAGAGTTGTGGATGGGGGGTTCTAAACAGAACTTTGAAAGGGGTGCAGAGTTGACCTTTGGACAGTGGGAAGAATAGCTGAGCTGTGTATGGTGGGAAAAAGAGGTGAGCTGTGGAAGGGGGAAGAAGAGGTGAGCTGTGGACTGTGGGAAGAAGAGGTGAGCTGTGCCTGGTGGGAGAAGAGGTAAGCTGTGGAAGGTGGAAGAAGAGGTGAGCTGTGGAAGGTGGAAGAAAAGATAAGCTGTGGATGGTGGGAAGAAGAGGTGAGCTGTGGCTGGCAGGAAAAGAGGTGAGCTGTGGACTGTGGGAAGAAGAGGTGAGCTGTGGACAGTGGGAAGAAGTGGTGAGCTGTGAATGGTGGGAAGAAGAGTTGAGCTGTTGGCGGTGGGAAGAGGTGAGCTGTGGAAGGGGGAAGAAGAGGTGAGCTGAGGACTGTAGGAAGAAGAGGTGAGCTGAGGACGGTGGGAAGAAGAGGTGAGCTGTGAACAGTGGGAAGAAGAGCTGAGCTGTGGATGGTGGGAAGAAGAAGTGAGCTGTGGAAGGGGGAAGAAGAAGTGAACTGAGGACCGTAGGAAGAAGAGGTGAGCCGAGGACGGTGGGAAGAAGGGGAGAGCTGTGACCGAAGGGGGAAGAGGTGAGCTGTGGAAGGTGGAAGAAGAAGTGACCTGTGAAAAGGGGAAGAAGAGGTAAGCTATGGAAGTGGGAAGAAGAGGTGAGCTGAGGACGTTGGGAAGAAGAGGTGAGCCATGGACGGTGGAAAGAAGAGGTGAGCTATTGACGGTGGGAAGAAGAAGTGAGCTATGGACGGTGGGAAGAAGAAGTGAGCTATGGACGTTGGGAAGAAGAAGTGAGCTGTGGAAGGGGGAAGAAGAGGTGAGTTGAGGATGGTGAGAAAAAGGGGTGAGCTGTGGCCGAAGGGAGAAGAGGTGAGCTGTGGAAGGAGGAAAAAGAGGTGAGCTGAGGACAGTGGGAAGAAGAGGTGAGCTGAGGATGATGGGAAGAAGAGGTAAACTGTGGAAGGGGGAAGAAGAGGTGAGCTGTAGCTAGTGGGAGAAGAGGTGAGCTGTGAATAGTGGTAAGAAAAGGTGAGCTGTGGACGATGGGAGGAAGAGTTGAGCTGTGGACGGTGAGAAGAACAGGTGAGCTGTGGAGGGTGGGAAAAAGAGGTGACCTGTGGCCAGCAGGAGAACATGTGAGCTGTGGCCAGCGAAAGAAGAGGTGAGCTTTGGTTGGGAGATGAAGAGGTGTGCTGTGGATGGAGGTAGAAGAGGTACAGTGGGGATGGGGATAGAAGAGGTGAGCTGTGTAACAGGGGAAGTAGAGGTGAGCTGTGGCCTGAAAAAGAACGGCGATGATGGGGTTAGGGAGTTGGTTAGGGAGGGTGGGTTTCTGGACTTTTTCTCTGAGAAAAAAGTCCAGGATGTACCTAATATTTTGACCAGTGAGAGAAAATCTGCAAGCTTCTTTTATTATTTGGTATGTGTCATTTTAACACAGCAAAGCTGGGAAAACATTAGCTGTGGACTGAAGCCAGATGGCAGGGGACCCTTAGAACCTACTGGAATCAATAACCTGTGTCCCATTAAACAAACGCAAGCAGCTACAAGCCATCTACCCACCACAAGCAGCTCTGGCACTGACCTGAAGCAAAGGACTGGTGAGAGTCCAAGCAGGTTGAATGCCGCCAGATAGCTCAGAGTGGAAATGTCAGCTACTGAAAAATACAGACAAATACATTTTGCAAACAGAATTAAGAACATTACCCAGGGCTGTCATCCTTTTTCTAATACTAGTTACTTGCCTATAGGTACCCTCTCAGATTCCTCCCCTCTTTTCTGTCTTCAGTTAAAGAAACCTGTCCCAAAACCATTCACTTTAATCTTCCCATGGGATTATGTGTGTGTATTTGATGTATTTTGTGCATGTTGTTTATGTTAAAGCCTCCATTGTGTTGACAGCAGCTTGGATGTGATGTCAGGAGCCCCAGCAGACACCTAGTTGTCACTCAAGTAACACTCGTTAGCAGCCTCTATCAACAATTTTACCCCAGAGGAACCCTTGAAAAGGTCTTGGGAATTTCCCGCTGAAAATAATTTTACCTACAATTCGCAGTACCTTAGCATGATCACTTGATTATAGAATGTTTTAAATATAAGAATTAATAATATGGCATGCCTGGTATACGTATTTGCCACTTTTGGAAGATAATTTTTTGCACTCTCCTGCTCAGTACAACATTTTCAGTAATAATTAGAGATGAGCGAAGTATTCAAAAATTCGATTCGACTGATTCGGCGAATTCGTGGAAAAATTTTGATTCGAGTCGAATATATTCGCTGCGAATTTAACTTATAAAAGGGTGTTTCTAGGCTTCAGAGAGCCTTTATATTAGTGCAGAACACTGTACCTTTAATTTAAATGCCCTTGGAGTCTGCTGGGGAAGAGAAATAATACTGACAGTCAGTATGACATGCAGATGAGTGCCGTCGATCTTAGAATCACCGCACACTTCACTCATTTGGGCAGTCACGGGGCCAAAAACCAGAGTGTGGAGCCACAGTGTGGCGGTGGAAGCAGCAGCAATGGGAGGCCATACAGCACCCTATGACAAAAATGGAAACCACCAGCAGTGTGAGGAGACCTGAAAGTGGCACATGGCAGAGTGTGGCGATGGAGACAGCAGCAATGGGAGGCCGTACAGGGACCCATGACACACTCTGGACCTGGCAGCAGCATGAGGAGGCGGTACAGGGGCCCATGACAGATTACGGGCCTGGCAGCAGCATGAGGAGTTGGAACGGGGGCCCATGGCAGATTAGGGGCCTGGCAGCAGCTATGGGAGGCCCGTAATCTGCCAGCACCCTATGACAAAAAATGGAACACACCAGCAGTGTGAGGAGACCTGAAAGTGGCACATGGCAGAGTGTGGCGATGGAGACAGCAGCAATGGGAGGCCGTATAGGGACCCATGAGAGACTCTGGACCTGGCAGCAGCATGAGGAGGCGGTATAGGGGCCCATGGCAGATTAGGGGCCTGGCAGCAGCTATGGGAGGCCCGTAATCTGCCAGCACCCTATGACAAAAAAATGGAACACACCAGCAGTGTGAGGAGACCTGAAAGTGGCACATGGCAGAGTGTGGCGATGGAGACAGCAGCAATGGGAGGCCGTACAGGGACCATGAGAGACTCTGGACCTGGCAGCAGCATGAGGAGGCGGTATAGGGGCCCATGGCAGATTAGGGGCCATGGCAGCAGCTATGGGAGGCCCGTAATCTGCCAGCACCCTATGACAAAAAATGGAACACACCAGCAGTGTGAGGAGACCTGAAAGTGGCACATGGCAGAGTGTGGCGATGGAGACAGCAACAATGGGAGGCCGTACAGGGACCCATGAGAGACTCTGGACTTGGCAGCAGCATGAGGAGGCGGTATAGGGGCCCATGGCAGATTAGGGGGCCTGGCAGCAGCTATGGGAGGCCCGTAATCTGCCAGCACCCTATGACAAAAAATGGAACACACCAGCAGTGTGAGGAGACCTGAAAGTGGCACATGTTTGGGGCATGATTCATGGCGGATTTAGTCAGTTGTGTCAGGAACTGGTGGTTTGAAATCCAGACTAATCCACGCCTGATTCATTTTCACAAACGTGAGTCTCTCCACACTTTGGGTGGATAGTCTTGTCCTCCGTGGAGTTACAATACCTCCTGCCGCACTAAACACGCGCTCCGATGCCACGCTACTGGCCGGGCATGACAGCCTTTCAAGGGCAAATTCAGCTAGTTGGGGCCAAAGGTCAAGTTTCGTTTGCCCAGTAGTCAAGGGGAAATTGTCTACCTCGGTTGGCAGGGTGCTGTCCAAGTAGGCCTAAGCCTGTTGTTTGAGGTCCTGCTCCAGGTCCACCTGATGCTGCTGCTGCTGCTGCTGCGGCGGTGGTTAGTAGTTTTCCTCACTGCGCTGGTGAAGAAAGCTACTCATCATCGACTGCAGACTGAGGCAGCTGCTGCTGGTGGAGCTGCCACTGCTCCTACCACCCCACCCCTCCCCTGCTGCCATGGCAGTGGAACGCGAGCGCACAGGGCCCACAGTGTCTGAGGATGGACGTTGGCGCACAAAGGCAGAGACCAGCTGACTACATAGGTGGTTTTTATAGTACGTTATTTTGGCCTCCCTCTCAGCAGGTGTGAAAAAGGCCACCATTTTGAACGGTAGCGAGGGTCCAACAAGGTGAAAGCCAAAAGTCATCCCTCTGTCCGATGGTTATTATTCGGCTGTCGGTACGCAAGCAAGCGAACATGCTATGGGCCATTTGTGCCAAGGAATGCGAGGACTCCCTGCCTCCATCTCCACAGCATACTGCCACGGTGCGTCTGGGTCCTCTGTCTCCTCTTCCTCCTCCTCTACCAGATGCTCCTGCTCCTCCACTCCTGTCCGCTGAGTGGAAAAACCACCCATTTCACTCAATAATTTCCTGAGCACCAATGTCCTCCTCTACCTCCTCCTCTTCTTCCTGTCCTGCCCCCACAGGAGTCATGTGGCGTTGAGATCTGTGCACCACGTCTACCGCACCCTGACCAGCCATTGTTAACAGCATTTGTTCCAGGACGTGCAACAGAGGAATGACGGTCGTTCATCCCATAGTCCTGCCGACTCACGAATAGCGTGGCCTCCTCAAAAGGGCCTGAGCAAGCGCAGGAGTCACGCATGAGCTGCAATGGCTGACATCATAAGTTACACTGGAGGGAGTACCTTTATCCGCTTTTAACATCAGGAAATCTGTGATGGCCTTTCGCTGTTCGTAAAGGCGGTCTAACATATGTAGGGTTGAATTCCACCTTGTTGCAACGTCACAGCATGAGGTTTCGGTACGGGGGCCCATGGCAGATTAGGGGCCTGGCAGCAGCTATGGGAGGCCGTAATCTGCCAGCACCCTATGACAAAAAATGGAACACACCAGCAAGTGTGAGGAGACCTGAAAGTGGCACATGGAAGAGTGTGGCGATGGAGACAGCAGCAAATGGGAGGCCGTACAAGGGACCCATGAGAGACTCTGGACCTGGCAGCAGCATGAGGAGGCGGTATAGGGGCCCATGCAGATTAGGGGCCTGGCAGCAGCTATGGGAGGCCCGTAATCTGCCAGCATTCCCTATGTCAAAAAATTGAAGACACCAGCAGTGTGTGAGGGGACCTGAAAAGTGGCACATGGCAGTAGTGTGGCGATGGAGAACAGCAGCAATGGCGAGGCCGTACAGGGACACCATGAGAGATTGGACTTGCAGCAGCATGAGGAGGCGGCGTATAGGGGGCCCATGGCAGATTAGGCGGCTGGCAGCAGCTATGGGAGGGCCGTAATCTGCCAGCCACCCTATGTCAAAAAATTGAAGGACACCAGCAGTGTGTGAGGGAGACCTGAAAGTGCACATGGACAGAGTGTGGCGATGGATGACGCAGCAATGGGAGGCGTACAGGGACCCATTGAGAGATCTTGGACTTGGGCAGCTGCATTGAGGAGGCGGTTATTATAGGGGCCCATGGCAGATTAGGGGGCCTGGCAGACAGCTATGGGAGGGCCCGTCTAATCTGCCAGCACCATATGTCAAAAAATTGAACACACCGCAGTGTGAGGGAGACCTGAAAGCAGCACATGGCATGAGACACTGTGGGATCACTGGGCAGCAGCATGAGGGGAGGCGAGTACAGGGGCCCATGGTCCAGATTAGGGGGCCTAGGCAGCAGCTCTGCTTATTGGGAGGCCAGTTAATCTGCCAGCACCCTTATGTCAAATTGATTACACACAGCAGGTAGCAGTGTGTGAGGAGGACCTTTTAAGTGGGACATGGCAGAGGTTTTGTGGCGTGGAGCCAGCGCAATGGGAGGCCGGTTTTCAAAGGGGCCCATGAGGGGGGACTCTGGGGCCCGGCAAACAGCATGAGGTGGTGGGGATA